CCCCCTCTTGATCCTTGCTTGATCTCCTTCTCTTCTTCTCAAATGATGCACTAAAAATCCCAAGATAGCTTCTATCTCACTTTCTAGCTCAAAGGACCTTTAGGGTTTGCTTCCAGGGAAAGGGTGGCCGCAAATGAGGCTATAAGTGCCTTTAAATAGGTCCCAAAACCCGGAAATTAGGGTTTCTCTAATTAGCGCCTACTCGGCGAGTCCCTCCTCGGACTCGTCGAGTCCACTCATTAAGTCCACGGGAAAAACCCGGCTCGACTCGGTGAGTTGGACCATCAACTCGTCGAGTCTCTTCTTTAATCACAAGATCAAATTACACGATAATATCCCTGAAAATCCGGATATTACATTGTCCTTCTCTTCCCCTCCTTAAAAAAACTCAAGAACATCTATTTCTCCCATTTCCTTCTTTAAAAACTTGAGAACGGGACGTTAGTAAAAACCAACAACTAAGTTTCTTTTAAAACGGTAGTAAAACACTTAATTGAACTTTAAGATGTGAAAAATAAAAAGATATATAATTATAATTCACAATTTGAATCATTTTACTTCGAAACCAAGAAAAAGACTAAAAGGTTTTGTTGAAGTCTTAATTTACCGTAATTTTGTAAAGTTTCCTTTTCTTGTAAGTTCATTGTGGTATGAGTTCTTTATTTATTAATCTTACAACTTACTACTATAAGCGATCAAGTAAATAAATGTCATGTTACATAATTATGATTCAAAGTTTCTCTTTAGGTTTTTTTATAAAAGTGATTAGATCTTGTTAAATCTTACATTTTTTATATTAAGATTCATTGACTCAAATAATACAATGAAAAATGATGATGATATAAACAACCAAAACCCTACGTGTTCGGTGGACATGATATCCCGACCCTTAGACCACAAGCATAACCTTTTTCATAATCATGACTCGTTAGAAATCTGTAGGTGGGGATCTTCATTCAACTTTAAGTAAAATCGACCGAGACGGTCTGAAGCCTTCTTGACCTATAATAGGCAAAACATGATCTCCATTTGGAAAAGTATTAAAAATCTAAACAAGATACCAAATCAGATTCATTTTTCCCAAATTTACCTGATCATCCCAATCTGTTCTCCAAATCATATATACGATTGTAATTGTTTGTGTTAGAACACCACCAATCAGTCCAATCCATATACCCTGTCAAGTAATGAAGTAATATGAATTTGTGGTTAACATTGTTTTTATGAAACGAAATATCTCTATTGTCTTCAAAATGACTAATAATCCTATTATATTACGTTAATAGATAATGAGCTATTGTTTTATGTTTTCCATATGTGTACAATATACAATATATGTTCTCAAGTTTTAGATTTTCTTATGAAATTTGTCAAAACTTTAATTTCATTATGAATTTGGTACAAAATGGTTTTTTTTTTACAAATCTATACAAAATTAGATTTTTTTTTCTACAAAATTATAACTTTTTTACACTTTTATATATTTTTTCTTAAAACTATTTTACAACCTTTTTAAACCTTTTTTGCACCTTTTTTAGAAAAACAGTTGTTAACAATTTTTTAAAACTTTTTTACAACCTTCTATTATTTTTAGAACATTTTTTAAACTTTTGAAAAAATTAATTTTTACACTTTCATACAACGTTCTTGTACAATTTTTTTTTTTTTTTTCTATTTTCCACTTTTTTGTGTTTTTACTTATGTTCGTTTAACAGACCAAAAGTGTAAAATTAAATATTGAGTTGCTATACTCGGTATGGCACGTGGAAAACATAACAAAATAATTCATTACCTTTTGATGTAATAAAAGATATGTTTAATGGTCATTTGAATACAATAATGATAATTCATTTTCCAAAAAACAATGTTAACCCTACAAATTTATCATACAAAATATCGACGATAAAAGATCTTTCAGTTATTCGACAAAGATAGATATATATTTTTTTTAACAGCTAGACAAAGATAGATATTAATTGCATGTACCTTAACTTCAAGAGTCGTCGTATACCCAAGTAAAGCTCCCAACGGAATTCCGATCAGGTAATAACAAACAAAGTTCACGACTGCTACAGCTCCTTGCATTCCAGCTCCAACTGCCACCCCTGATAACAAACAATAGCACTAACTTGTAAACTTTCCCAAAATAGAATGCTTCAAATCTTAAAATTTAAAGTCCAATTATGGTGAACACTAAGTTGTAAGCCTCCGTTTGTGCGTTAATACCTTTGTAAACATTAACCTTTAAACTTTACAATAATAGAAACGAACAAGAATCTTTCATATCAAAATTGTGCACGCTACACGCTAACCCTATACACTTTCTGGAAATAGAAATAAAGAGGATATATTTCAAGTCTCTATTTAAAAAGGTAAATCGCATCCATAATTTATTGAAACCTATAGAGGTTAATGGACTGTTGCATTATTATTCCATTTTTCACATTTTTTTTTTCTTACAATTTATTAAACTCTACAAAAGGTTAATGCAACATAATTTTACAAATAGAATCACTTATTGTTAATCATTTTAGATAAAAAAAAAAGCATTCATTTTTCCAAATGAATAGTTTGATTGTCATTGAACAGTTCTATCGTCATCAAATAGTTCAATATCCACTGTATCCAACATCAACATGACACCCCACTAGCATGGTTGAGACTAACATATTGAGTGCTAACCAGATATTCCATCTTGTTCAAACATTTCATTAAACTATGCATAAAATATAAATGTTACCAAATGAGAAGATATTGCTACCTGATAGTACTGGATATACACTGTTCAACAATACCGAAAAAGAAAGAAGAAAAGAGAGATCCGATATTGCATCTGCAACCCTGGCATCGCTTGTAAACAAGTATGCAAGTTTTTTTCCAAATGTCAAACAAAGAATGAAGAAGAATAAGCCTATGGTAATGGAAGTCCCCAACAAGACTTTTATTGTAAACTTCACTGCTTTAGCGTTTCCTCTTCCTAATTCATTTGCCACCCGAACACTGTATAAATGTTTAAATTTCAATATAACATGTATCAGTCACATACCAAAGTTTAATTAATACACAGAAAATTCTTAAGAAATCAATGATCACCTACCATGCTGCACCTAAGAAACCGAGGTTTATCATCAACTCCCATACGTTAATATTCAGGCTGTGGAAATTGTTGCCAATAAGGAGATTGGTTTTCTAGAAAAATGAGTGGAAAAAGGAGGAATATGATCAAAAAATTGATACCAAATGGAGAAGGCGGCTATTGCGACCTCGGCATCTTCCATGTATCCAGCAAGTAAGACCAGAAAAGCATTGTACCATAACTCTAAGCTACACATTGTTTAAATCACAGTTTAACTTTTCATGTGACAAAAATCACTTCAACCGTAATAGAATTCATGTGCTTTTGTGGAAATTTAATATTGATTTTGAAGTTAAAAACTAGTTGGTTTGACTTTTTATGCATGATCAAACCAAATAGTTTTTATACCAAATTTTGACTTTTCGGATTGATTGTAACAAAAATATATTGATAATACTTACCAGACCATCACACCAGAGGATATTGAGAGCTTCACAACAGGTAACAGATCCTTAAAAGCAGCAACTGTGAATCCTTTCCATGAATGCGGGCACCATCCTCCAAAAATGTAGATGAATTCGCCAATTACAAGGAACCAAGATGAAAACGACAGTGCAAGCATGGCACCTGAGAGCCCCATGTTCAGCTTATATATAAAAAGTAGCGACAAAGGTATATGGACCGTGAATTGGAAAACTGAAATCCATGCGATGATCATGTTCTTTGACTGTGCTTGCAGATACATTTGTATGGTCAAGCTGAAAACGAAGTTGTATACAAAAGGGATGAACCATAAGGATATGTATCCACCACTGTTTGCTATTGATTCTTCCTCGCCAACAAGCATAAAGATTTGTGTACCAAAGATGAAGACTGGGAGCAAGATGGTCAAAGTAATCAAGTCCACAATCCATGATCGTTGCAAGTAAATACCCATCATATGGTCTTGTCCGGCTCCAAATGCTTGTCCACAAAGGGTTTCAGTTGCACTCGACATTCCCAACTGTGGATATATACATTTTAATTAGAACGAAAATGGTCGATTTAAGGGATTTTTGGTTTGTAGAAAGCTTAGAATCATCACGAGTCATGACTGGTGGCTTTTGTTAGTGATAACCAAACAATTATGGTCAACTTACAAGTATTCCATTGACAAACCGAACACTAAGTGCTTGAACAAGTGCATAGCCAGCAAGATCTGTTTCACTGATATGTCCGATGAATGACTGAGTGACAACAATAGTTCCAAAAGCGCAAACCCTTGCTATAATACCAGGCAAGGCGACCCTCCATATCTTTTTTGATTCGATCCATATCCTTCGTTTCAAGTCATCATCATCTTCTTGTCCCTGTTGAATAAGCTTTGTTTGCATCCCGTCATCCATCCTGAGAATTTGGAAGTTATGAACATATATACTAATGTGCTAAAATTTCAATTTTCAAGGAAAAAAGACTGATGTTCTGGTAGATTAGTGAAAAGTAAAAACCCGAGACTATATGACAGGCTTAATTCATAAAAAAAAAGTCTGATCAGCAAGTTAATTTAATTAAAAATTAATGGCAATAAACTTTGTTGAGACTTTAGATGTGTAATAAAAATGTAACTTTTGAAAATTGATTATCTAAATATATCAATAGTTGAAAATTGGTAGGTGTTCAACCGACAAGCGCACAGTTAAAGGATGCGGAGAAATATAAAGAAGACAAGAGATGAGTGTATTATTAGTCTTGGGGGTTTAAGTTTACAATTACATTCATATACAAACGAAATTGTGTCTGGACGATGTGGGATGCTAACATAGTATCACCATTAGTTTGTTATTTACATTCTTCTCCTTCACCATTTTTGATGTGCGGCACCCTTTATGCCATCCACAAACAACCATTATCCACAACTCAACAATCCCCCCCGCTTAGAGGATGACCAACAAATCAATTGTCATCCAAAGCATGTAACTCTCAAGCCTCTTCTTCTCTCTAGTTTGGCACCTTCTATCAGCCATCTCGAAGGACAATCGAAGCTTAACACGAATTCTAACAACAAAAAAATATCTCACTTGGAGGTTGATCAAAAAATCAACTTTTATCCAAATCATGTACCTCTCATAAACCTCATCTTCTATTTAGTCAGCACCTTCTCATAGTCATATAGAAGGCCAATTAAATTTCAGCACAACTTAAAATTTTGTGGTGTCACCACCTTGGTAAACATGTCTACTAGATTCTTTGTACCAAGGATTTTCTACAAGGACAATGTACCATCATTAATAAGCTCTTTGATGCAGTGGTATCTCATCTAAATGTGTTTATTCCTTCCATTAAACATATGGATTCATTGTGTGATGAATTGCACTTTGATTGTCAGAATAAAGAATACAACATATCACCCTATTTCATGTCAACTTTGATAAGTAGTTCTTTAACTAGATAAACTCTTTTCCATCCTCTACAATGGCCATGTATTAAACTTTTATGGTTGAAAGAGAAACACTAAATGAAGTCTAGGCATCTAACTAACTAATATACCACGATAGTGGACTAGTGGACATATAACTTGCAGTGTTGTTCATTAAATCTAAACATCAAACCAAGTATGCATTGATTAATCCTTCAAAGATAACCCCTTTTATTTAGAAACATATGGCAACCTTAGAAGTATGTTTCAATTAACATAGCAGCCATTTGATTGCTTCCTAATGCTCTTTTACCATATTGAATATAAACCTTCTCACAAATCCCACTACATGAGCAAGGTTTGGCCTCATGCAAAACATAACATAAATCATGGTGCTTGCTTCCCATGCATAAGGAATCCAAGCTCTCTTTATTTCCTTCATCTATTTGTGGTGATTGTTTTTTTAGAGTTCAATGTGACCTTCGAAACATGTAAACATTTTTCATGTTGAATTGCTACAACATTTTATTGATGTTGGGGTTGGAAAACTTTTCTATTAAACACGAAAATAGAATTACAATAGGAGGAGCAACTCTCACACTCAACTATTACAAAAAATC